GGCCCCGGCACGGACACGGGCACCAGCACCAGCACCAGCACGGACACCGGTCGCGACCCCGGTCCCGGCACCCGCACAGGCACGGGCACCAGCACAGACACTGTCACTGGCACCGACACAGACGCCAGTACCAGCAGCGGCACGGACGCGGGCACAGGCACGGGCACTGGCACAGACACGAGCACCAGCACCGGCTCTAGCACCAGCATGGACACCACACCACTGGTACAGGCAGCAGCATGGATGCGGGCACAGGCAGTGGCACAGATACCAGCACTGGCACTGGCATGGGCACCAGCATAGGAAGAGGCACTGGCACCACCTCAGGCAACAGTACTGGCACGGGCATGGGCATGGGCATGGGCATGGGCACGGGCATGGGCACCAGCACTGTCACTGGCACCGACACAGACACTGCCAGTGGCACCAGCACCAGCACTGACACTGACATGGACACCGATAACGGCACCAGCACCGTCAATAGCACCAGCACTAGCACTGACACCAGCATGGGCACAGGCACCAGCACTGGCTCTGGGCACCAGCATGGGCATGAGCACAGGCACTGGCATTAACACTAGCACTGGTACTGGACACTGACAGACACCAGCATGGACATGAGCACGGGCACGGGCACAGGCACCGACATGGACAATGGCAAAGACACCAGTGTGGGCATGGACACGGCCAGCAGGCCGTGGACACCAGGACCAGCAAGGGCACAGGCACTGGCATGAGGCAGAGGCACTGACACTAGCACCTGACACCAGCACCATGCACTGGCACCAGAACTGTCATGCACACTGGCACCAGCATGGAAAGTGGCACCAGCACTGGGCACCAGGCACCTGCACTGAGCGCTGTGCATCCACACAACACACTGGCTGCACACTCGCTCTAGTATTGGCACTGCACACCTTGCACCAGTACTGGGCATTGTAAGCCAGGCACGGTGCACCAGCACCATGCACCAGGCCTGGGCACCTGCATCCTCTGCATCCCCTGCCAGCCCTCAGTATCCCCCCCGCTATGGATTGCCAGGGCCCAGACTGTGCCTGCCCCTAGGACATCCTTGAAGGGTGAACTACACTGGGCTGGAAAGAAGCTAGTTTTTAGCACCTTCCACCTGAGACCCAGGCAGGAGAGACCCTGTGTGAGCTCCCCAGTGGTCAGTCCTGCTCTAGAGTAAGGCTTTTCAGAAGGTGTTAGCTTGAAACTCAGCCCAGAGGCCAAACTGCTTTCTGCAGCCCTGCTGCCTTGGAGTCCTGATCCTGCCACAATCCCACAGCCACAAAGCTGGCTTCCCTGCTCCCAGCTTCACTGGCCACTGGGCTCCCAGGACTTCCCCGGCATTTGCCTCGGTCTACCCTGCCAGTACCCGCTGGGCCCGTGGAGAGGCTCTGGGGCAGTGTGAGCCCTGCCTGGCTGATTGCCCCTGCTCTGCCCCCTGCCAGGGCAGCAGGAAGGGGCTTGGGCAGGGTAGTACTGCCCAGCAAGGTCTCCAGCCTCCTTGCTTCCTGCTAGCAAGAAAAATGATACTTATAGTATCATTTAAATAGTACTGATGGAGCCAGGCCTGCACCAGCATGGGGACACTACCCCCAAACACCAGAAACCATGGAGGGTGTTCCCAGCCTGCCGCAGCCACCTCCGGCATCTCCTCTGCAAGGGGCAGTTCCTCTAGGCTACCACGTTCCTGCCACCCCACAGGAGGGTTGGGGCTTTTCAGCTGGGCAGAGTCTCTTTTGAGGTGAGAGACCTGGCATGGGGCTGAGCTCTTGGGTCAGACCCCAGCGGCAGTGCAGCATCTCTTTGACCTCCCCTCCGCTGTAGCAGCACAACTCCCACTAGCTTTGCTCTTAGGGGGACGCTAGGCGTGAGTTTTACTGGCATCTGCCCAGACATGAGCCTGGCACACCTGCCCGATGGCTCCAGTTGTGGCTGGCACCTTTCCCACGGGCAGTGGGAAGGCCCAGCAGCTTGTGATACTCCTGAAGGGAACGTGGGAGGTGGTGAGGTGGTGAGAATGTGCCCCTGCGCAGGTCCAAGATGGGGTTGCGGAAAGAAAGGGTGGGGAGTCTAACTGGTACCCAACAGCAACAGCTCCTGCAAGCCCCAAACTGTGAACAAAGTCACAGAGTGAGCGGCACAGCCCCACGTAACCAGCCCCTCCAGCCTAAACACCTCCACATGCCTCCATGGCTATCCCTGGCTCAGTCCCCACGCTGGCAGCGTGGGGCAGGAGGAAAGGGCCATCTGCAGGTAGATGGAGCTCAGAGCAAGAGCTCGGAGCCCTGGCAGGGGACCCAGCCTGCCAGCTGTGGGCACCCCATGGGGAAGGAAGCATGGTAGCACAACTGAGCCCACATCCAGAGCTGGCACCCTCCTCTGGGGGACCTGGGTTCCCATGCCTGCCAGTGCTGCTGGGTCCTGGGGAAGCTGGAGGGAAAGCAGGAAGGTGCAGAGAGATGCTGCGGGTCAGGCCTGCAGAAACAAGGCTTGGAACAAGTCACAGGGATGTGGCATTACCATGGGCAGGAGCCTTTGCTGCTCTGCTCTGCCCTAACTCTCTACTGTGGGCAGTGCACCCATGCATTCCCTATGTGCCCCGTGCGGGTCCCGATGGGCATTTTGCTGCAGGTTGCAGGGCTTTGGCCTACCCAGGAGGGTCTTTACTGCTGGGAGATGGGGCAAGCTGGGTGCTACAGCCAGTCCTGCCAGGGCTCTGCTTCAATGCACAGTCCATGCTTTTGGATGCTTGGGGACAGAGTGGGTTTTGTTTTCAGTCTGCACCCTGCCAGGTGTCTTGCCTCCAGCATGCAGTACAATGCTCCTGTCCTGCGCTCCCTGCAACAAGGACAGTCTCTGCTGCGCCTGTAGCTGAGCGTGCCATGGGGTGAGACAGGGCCGGCATAGGGCCAGCCCTGTCGCTGCTGTGTAACACTGCTGTGGTGCCCTCAGCCTGTCACAACAGGGGCCTGCATGCTCCTCATCACTGAGCCCCCCAAGCTGGCTTGTGCAGAGTGTGGCAGCCCCACATCTTCCCATAAGCATTTCAGTGCAGCAGTCAGAGGAGCCATGGGGATACTGGGGACAAGGCCATGCACACTGGGCTGGGACAACCTGGAGAATGGCACAGGAGAAAGGGCAGCCCTAAATTGCAACTGAATCCTCCAGGACTTGAACTACGTTTCCCATAGCACTTTGCAAAGGGAACTACCTCTTCCTATGGTTTATTGCACCAGAAAACTACATTTCCCAGAGCCCTTTGCCAGAGAAAAATTACACAAAAGAGAAGAGTAGCCAACCTCTGATCTGCAGTGAGGAGCTGGGGTTGCGCAGCCCGTCTGGAACACTGCTCACGCCACTGCCCTCTGGTGCCCCTGCCCATCTGCACTGCACAGCCGGGATGCCAGGTGAGTGGGGACACTGGGCTGGGGGGGGCTGTGCCACTGGCATCCACAAAGTGATCTGGAGAGCTGGGCAGTTGGGAGAGCCCCTGGGCTGGCGGAGGGGTGCTTGTGCTCTGGGGGTGCCCGAGGGACTGGCTTCCTGCCTGCAGGGCACTCAGACCTAGGGCTGCAAGGCAGAGTGATGGCACAGTGATCCTGGGCCTCCTGCCTGGGTGGCGTGGTCCTCTTCAGGGTGCTTCTCCAGCAGCAAGACTCCTCCAGAGGCTGACAGCATCCTGTCTGGCCCTGCCAGCACAAATACTGGCAGGTGCTGAGCAAGCTAGGCACCCAGGGGTCTCTCCAAAAGCTCCCTGTTGCTAGTGCCCAATCTCCCCTGCCTACCTTATTAGGCTGATTCTGCAGTTGATCCCTCTGACCTGTGCAAGCCTTGCTGGGCTTGCACGTCCCAAAATGTGGTTAGCACCGTAAAGAGACTAAGCGACCTCTCTGAAGACTTAAGGGAGGGAAAAAGGAGCCCTGAGAACTTTTTTGTAGAAGCTATGGAGAAGGTGCAAGGTTTAAACCCTTCTCTAGTTCTAGCCCTGTGTAGCTGGCAGCTCTGTGCCTCAGTTTCCCATCTGGCTGGGGACTGAGAATAGGTAGGTAGCAGAGCACGCACTGTTCATAACCAGCACAGCAGTCAGCGCCTGGGTTTTGCACAACGCAAGACTGGCTTCGCTCAGCCCCTGATGGGAAAAGCCTGCTGCTTCTGATGGCAAGGGAGCCTAGTCCAAAGAAGGCTGTCTTTAAGCCCCAGTGGCTTAAATTTCTTATGTTCTGTTGGCAAGGATGTGGCTCCCAGCAGGTCTCCCAGGGGAGAGCAACTGGCAGCCCCATCTCCTTCCTAGATCTCGCTGCTGCCAGGCTTTCCTAAACCGAGCTGTCTCCCCAAAGCAGAACTGATATTTTCTCCTACATGAGCTTAAAGGAAGAGTCAACATCCTCCCCTTGCCTAGCATCTGTGGTCTGCTGGTGTGGACATGCACCTGGAGGCTGCATCAGCAGTGCTGTGGTGTCCTGTCCACCTCTTCCCTCTTGTTGGCCCCAGACCACCACTCCCATGTAGCTCTGGAGGGGCCGTAGCTCCCGTCCTGACTGCTTGTGAGCAAGTATGTGTCACTTCTCACACAGAGGATGTCGCTGTTGTCACTCTCCAGCTCGGTAGCTTCTTTTCCTTCCAGAGCAGCCCCAGTGCCTCAGGAGCGCTGGCTCATTTTGGCTTTCTGCTCCAGATTCCTGTGTTGTAGCCCTGTTCACAAGATGCTCTGATTGCACGTAGCGCAAGCTCTAAAGCTGTACCCCAGACACATCTCAGAACAGCATGCCCTGGTCTGGGCAGCCAGCCTGTGCCTCTGAGGGGCACCAAAACCATGCAGACAGCGCCCACTGGTTTATTCTTGGTGCCTTTTCTCTCCCAAACTGGCCAATAACCTGTGTGCAGAAGTGGAGTCTCGTTAGTGCCTCAGAAATGTTTAGGGCAGGAGGCACTGCTCCGAGCAAGTCGGGGGCATCCCACATGCTCAAGGGATGCCCAGTGCACCCCTCCCACCTCAGCTGCTTGCCAGGGCTACGGACCTTGCTGAGGAAGGTCTTTGTACAGCCTGTTCAATCACGGTAATAGCCTTAGCCTCCGTCCCGCTGTCTGCCAGCCAACATCCTTTTGTGGCGTCTTGCAGAAGCAGCGCTAAAAGCTGGGGAACCAGCTGCTGGCAAGGAGAAGGAAAAGGGGTCCTGGCTCTTAGTACAGTCCTTGCTCTCACAGGCGCCTTCTGCATAATCTGATTCATCAAAGTACCTGGCACCAGCTCTGAAGCAGCTGGGCTTTTTGCAGTCTTGTCTCAGGAAGGCCATTCCATCCCATGCTGCTCTCATGGTCCACAGCTGCCTTCTCCTTTCCAGCTTAAATTTACTGGTGGCCAATTTGTTCTTGTGCCAACAATATCTTGAGTAATTCTTCTTCCTCTTGAACAGTGCCTCTGTGTATTTCTAGGCCTGAAGTTGGCCAGGCTGAACCTGCCAAGCTCTTTCCATCTCCCCGCAGGGCAGATCCCTGTTCTCTTCCAGGCTTCCCTTCCAAGTTTGTGTATCTGTTTTGCATGTGGATGCCCTGAACACGTGCACATTTCCTGTGTGAACCTTTTGCAACCAATTGCTCTTCTCCCGTTGCTGGAAGTGCATCCCCTGACCCTGGGGTCTTTGTTGTCCCAGGCATGCCCTATTCAGCTAGTCTGTGGAGTGTCCCTCCTCTATCATTTCCAACTGCAGAGGTCCCAGTGTGACGTTTCTGTGGCTTGTTCACACCAGCTTGTGCTCACTGATATGCAAAATGTCAAAGGTATGCTTGGCATGTCTTGCCTGCCAGGTTTGAGCAGGTAACCTTGATCTTTAAGGAAGAAGGAGAGGCAGCCTCAGGGGAAGCAGAGGCAAGTGAAGCTTGAAGGTGCCCTTGCAAGACAAGGGCACTGGACTCTTGCAGCTAGAGAGGGGAGAAAGTGGCTGGGGAACAATGGTGGAGAGGCTGCAGAATTTCTGTCCTGGAGAAGGACCAGCTTGACCCAGCTCTTCCCTTGCCTCTACTGTTAACCCCATACTGGTCTCTGGTAGGATAAGCCCTGAAGCATTTAGGACATACAAACTGTCCTCAAGGGGAAAGAGATTTTGTGGCTGCAGGACCCAGGCTCTGGGTGAGGTGTCTGTGATGCTCAGATGCTGAGTGCCCGGCTGGGAGCGTAACTAGCCTGCAGCAGAAGCAGCAGCCTGCATTCCCTGGGGAAGGGCTACGCTTTGCTGTTCCCGCCCTGTTGGGCTGGCCACGTTCCCTCACCTTGCTCTTTTCAATGCATATGGGGTTGGGAGGGAGGATAATGGCTATGGGGACACCCTGGGATCGGCACTCTGCATACACCCTGGGAGGAAGCAGGCCCAGATGATGTGTTCATACCCACATTCAATCCTCTCCTTGCCCTGCCTCCGGGCACCTGTGCCAGGTTCTTCTTGTTTTCAGCGCAGGTGATGAGGGAAGATTGTGGACTCCTGGGTTTGTCTCAGTCACAGTCAGACAGCTGGATGCAGCGCTTGTGTTTGCCACAGTGTGACATTTGTCATCTGCTGCGAGGCTAGGCCTGGGAACTGCCAGCCACCGGCTCTTCCTCCCGCAAGCTGTCCTGCTGTGTGCCAGTTCAGGGCACGTCTCTGTTCTGTTCCCAGCTTTTGAACATTAACACTGCCCTCCAGTGTGCTTGTGCATACTCTCTGCATCAAAGGTGTACCTTGCCTACCTTCAAATCCATGCGTTCAGTAAAATATCTAGTGCGCTCTGCTCCTTTTGGTCCTCCTTGAGGCTTTCTGTTTGGTGTCTCAGAATGAAAGCTGGTGGCTTCAACCTCCTTCCCTGCCATCCCCAGGCCTTTAAGGAGGTATCTGTAGCAAAACCAAGCTGGGCAGCAGGACCAGCACTGCTCCCCAGTGAGATCACCACAGTTACCTCCAAGGATTTTACTCCTAGCCACTTTATTTTCCTCATTTCTGTACTCTTTCCATTCATAAAGTCAAGGTTTACTGCGTGCAGTGGACGTTGTGTATGTCTTCCTCCCTTCGTTGAGGATGGTCACTGCTACCAAGTGGCTCCTCTACTGAGGTCCTGTGCACTCCTTGGAGGTGTTCATCTCCTTTTGGGTACTTTAGACTCCTGGCTCTGCTTAGGGTGATTTCCATGGGAGCGGGGACTCCACCCTGTGCCGGAGTGTCCGGACAATCCGTGGGAGAACTTACAGTTGGATTTTCTTTCTTCTGGCAGATGATGAGAACATGGAGGAGGAAGAGATGGAGGGTCCTGCTGCTGAGATGGCTGAACCACCTGGCTTGCGAGGGGACTTCAGGGACACCTTCTCCCAGGCTGCTGGCGACAGAGCAGGGTGGCAATTTTAGGCCCTCCCCGGCCGTGGGGATCTCAGGGAAGGCGCAGAGAACCTGCTCCCAAAAGACCCCTTGGCAGAGAGACCCTATAAATGTGGCAAATGCGGGAAGGGCTTTGCGCAGAGCTCTGACCTGATCAGACACCTGCGAATCCATGCTGGCGAGTGCCCATACAAGAGTCCCACTTGCGGGAAGGGCTTTGGCGACAGCTCCGTGCTGTTGAAGCACCACCGCACACACACTGGCCAGTGCCCCTACAAGTGCACTGAATGCGGCAAGGCCTTCGTCCTTCCTCAGCTCCTACCTGATCCAGTAGCAGTGCACGTGCAGCCAGGAGAAGCCCCACAAATGTTCCAACTGTGGACACTGGTTTGGGCTGAGCATAGAGCTGGTGTAGCATCAGCGAGCCCACGCGGGTGAGAAACACTACAAGTGCAGTGAGTGCGGCAAGGGCTTTGCCCAGAGCTCTGATCTCATCTGCCATCAGTGCACACACACCAGCAACTGCCCATACCAATGTTCCCAGTGTGGCAAGACCTTCAGCCTCAGCTCCAATCTGCTGCAGCACCAGTGGACACATGCCAGTGAGCAGCAGTTCACCTGTGCCCAGCGCAGGAAACACTTCACCCAGAGGCTCCAACCTGCTGCAGCACCAGCACACCCACACCGGCGAGCGGCCCTACCAGTGCTCCCAGTGCGGCTGTCATTTCAGCCTCAGCTCCAACCTGCTGCAGTACCAGTGGATGCATTTGAGTGAGCACCCCTATGCCTGCGCTCAATGCGGCAAGACCTTCGGCCTCAGCTCCAACCCGCTGCAGCATCAGTGGACGCACACTGGCGAGTGGCCCTATGCCTGTGTCCAGTGTGGGAAGCACTTCAGGGACAGCGCGACCTTCTGTAAGCACTGGCACACACCCATGCGGGGCCGTACACCTGCTCGCAGTGTGGCCCTGTGGGCTGCCCCAAGCTTCTGCAGCGCCAACACCCTTGCGCTCAGGATGGGCAGCTAATCTGGTCCCCATGTATGCACTGCACCGGGACCCCATGCCCCTGACATCAGGGCTCTTTTCCATGGCTCTGCCGCCCTTTCTCCGCGCTGCAGCACGATGGGATGAGGAGAGGCACATGCTGGCCAAACTGTTTCTTCTGGGCTGCAGGATGCCACAGTCCTGCAGGAAGGCGCCTCCAGCTCCACTCTGCAGGCTCCAGGCATGGGTCAGGGGGCATCGATGGGGTGCAGACCTGCTCTGCATGTCTTTACTCCGGCTCTGGAGAAATGGGGCACTTTGGAAATGTGGACTTGTGCAAATGGTGCTGGGAAGAGGGAGACCTACAAGAGATGGAGATGGGAGGCGAAAAACTGCTGTGCAGTGGAAAAGGAGCTGGCAGCTGGTGTGAACTGGAGAGGGAAATACAGGCCACGCAGCAAACAAGCTAGTTTGCCAAGGGGAGTGAGGTTGCCTCGTGTAAAGCTGGGTTAGGTACAGACCCTTTTCCTTGCTGGGAAAATCCATGTCTACAAGCAGCAGAGCCGTCAGAGTGAGGTGTGGTGGGTTGGCATGATGGGAGTATGAAAGCACTGCACGCGTGCTGTGGCAGGAGCCAGGAGGGATGCTGTCCGGCACATGTGCAGCACGGGCACATGGTACCCGGAGTATGAGAGGGCTCGCTGGTAGCAGCAGCTCTTCCTTTGCTCCCCTCTCAGCTCCCTCGGTGCAGAGCATGTGGTTTCTGTGCACAATGTTTCTGCGAGCTCTGATGGAGAGTTGTCGCAACATGCAACCAGTAGACACACCTGATGAGGTTAAAATGGCAGAACTGGTTATCCCATCTTTTCTTTCTGTGCCCTGGGATAGTGTTTCTGTCCTGTCCCTCGCTAACTGCAGAGTATCTCCTGCATCTTTTGGCCTTGATCTGCACAGATCTCTGTCCCTGGATGCTGGTGGTTGTCTCTTTGTCCCCCAGGACAGATGACATGGCCATCCACAGGCGTTTAGGAGGGAGCTTTAGAGCAGCCAGTGCTCCCCAGCAGAAAAGGCAGGCAGAAAAGGCAGCTCAGAGCTCCCCTCTCCTGGCTGGTGGCTGAGGATAGGCAGCAAGCAGTATCTGCAGGAAGGCGCCCAGCCCACGTCCCTGAAAGGCCTCCAGTAAGCCCCTTGGATGGAAGTAAACAGGTCCTTCAAATGCAGAGCTGTTCCCCAGGAGGGAGGTTCTGGGGTGAAAGCCTTAATCTGCCCTCTTAGGCATTCAAATGCCACTATGAAGGCATCGTTCCCTTCTCCGTCTCTGGGAAGCAGAAATCGACCCATGCCACGAGAAACATGAAAGGAAGCGTAGTCACAAGAGAATTATTTGGTGTACCTACCTCAAATACTAGAAGCTGCAATACAGATGATTAGGTAGATCTGCGGCATAGCAGACCCAGCCCTAATATGGCCAAGGTGAGTTACTAACAGTCTGTAAATAGTAACCGGTAATCTTAAAGTCACATATTGAAGTACAAACATTTAATTTGTTGGCAAGATATGACTCCAAACTGAACTATGAAAGCCATATCTGGCAGTCTTGTGCAGCTCCTTAGAGGTTTTACAAGTGGTAGATAATCCTCAGATAGAAAGGCTGTGGTGCCCAAGACAAAGTTGCTATTTTGGACTTGTCACGTATAAAGGGAAGGACTCACTGAGCTGGAAGCTGGTGGTTGCCTAGGAACTGTGCATTCATTATGAGTAAACGGACGACCTAAACTGATGCGTATATATTTGTCGCTTCAAAAGAGCCTAATTTCCTGCAATTGTTTTGAAGAAAAATTTCAACAGAAAAACGCTAATGAAAACTAGGTGCTCGCTTGAGCGAAGTCCTACTCTTAGGAAGGAGAATAGAGAGCAAGGTCCTCATAAGAAGTAATGGCCACACTTAAAAAGAAATATTTTCTGACTTTCTATGCATCCTTTTCTCCATTTGCAAACAGAAGCTGTGACACGGTGATGAGGTCAGAGGGCTTTGGAGAAGAGAAAAATCCAAGGTTGGCAGAGCTAAAGTTCAAAAAGCGTGTGCTGTCCAAAGTGAGGACATTGTGTGTGGTGCAGCTGTGCAAGCTATATCCTCTGTCACCTAAAACCTCTGGGAACCTTGCACATGCATCCATGAGACAATCTGAATGATTTGAGAAGGAGATTGTGAAAACCAGGGTAAACAGGAAAAGAGCAAACCTGTATTTGTCTTTTTTTAACTGATCTGTGAGCTGCTTGCTTGCAGCTTGTGCCACCTTACAGCAACCCCTCACATTCAGCCTCCAGCCATACATATTTGAAAAGCCACTTTTCAATGGCCACTTAGGGGTCGCACTCAGTCCCAGCCTTGGTTATCAGTGAGCACCGTGTGGAAAACTGAGCCGGATACTCAATGGGTTATAGCTCTCATGAGCAGTCCAGCAACACCTGTGGACAGGTGCTAGGCTGGTCCCCATGTCCTCAGCAGAGGCTGGCCCTTGCCCCAGCACACACAGGCTGTCCCACGATGGAGCAGCAGGTGAGCAGCCTGCACCCCAGGAAGGAGGTTTGCACCACGGGAAACAGCCAGCAGTATCTCCAGCCCCCAAAGAAAGAACAGCTGCTGGGAGAATATCGGAAAGTACCTTTTCTAAGGACAGGAGCTGGAACAGGTGCTTGCAATGATGCCTTCCCGAGAGATTGAGGCCTTCCAGCTGGACCTCCAGAGGACTTTTGCTCTGCAAAGGACCCTCATTGGTGTATTTAAACTGGAGGCTGCTTCCACCAGGGAAAACATTCAGGTACAAAGTGGATCCAGCCCCAGAGAGGTTTAAAACACTGCCTTTGCAGAGATGAGCTCCTGCCAGACACAGGTGGTGTGCTGCTTTCGGGGAAAAAACCCGCAAGGGCCGAGGTGTGAGGCAGCATCTGCTTGTGCACAGCCTCGAGGCAGCAAGGCCCAGTTCCTCACCTGGATGTTTTTCCCAATGGCAGTTTGTCCCATTGCAGCCTCTGGACTGCAGTGGGGTTGGCTTCAAGGGTCAGCGTGCAGGCTTGGGGCACCCACAGGCCCCTCTGCCTCTGAGCGGGACCGGGCTGGGCTGAGCAGGCAGCAGTGCAGGGCTTGGATGAGAAAGAAAGGACAAAAGAGCTCTTGTATGTCCTTCCTGCAGCACTGCTGGTGGCCCCCACATGTCCCTGGTGTGGGACCCAGCCCCCTCAGATGTGGCCCCTCCAGTGCTCGGAGGCTTTACATCCTGCCAGGAGGGAACAGGTATGATTTTGCTTTGGGACTCATCTCAGCAGATCCCCCTGCTTTGCGTGTGATTCTCCAAAGGGAGGGTGGTTTTGCTCACTTTCCATGTCCCTGCTCGCATCTCAAGATGTGGGTCTGCAGGGAACCCCTTGGTTCGCTTGGGGAGGAGGCAGACCCCAAGCCCTGGCCCCCAACAGCTGCGGTGGAGTTTAATACCCTCTGCAGAAGATGTTGGGGAGGGGAATGTCAATAATAAGATCCCCCAAAAGGAGGCAGAAAGGCTCCTGGTGGCGACACAGGCTGGTGGCCGTGCTCCCCGAACAAGTGGATGCAGGGCAGGAGGGTGCAGTGGGCTGAATTCCTGCATTCAGCAGGGAATTCTGGAGCTAGACAGGTCCTGCAAGTGCAGAAACACCCCCAGCCATGAGACATAGAGTGCACGACTAGATGGAGAAGCATGTCTCTCTGCAAGCAAGCTTGGCCATCACGTGCTGATCAGCTCTGCACACCAGCTTTTTCATCTCTCTTCTGCAAATGCTTCTGTATTATCCTCACCTGGAGAAAGGTGCTGGGCTCAGAGCATCTCCTACAATATCGATCCAGAAAAGATCTTGGTGTTTGCAGTAGTGCTGGAGCAGAAAACCCACAGTGCCTGATCCTGCATGGCTGAACACAAGGCTTTAGGAGCTACAGTGATCTCCCAGGGTGCCTGAACTCAGCAAAGTCTCAAGAAACTTCTGGCCTCACCACACAGCAAAAGAGATTATTTTTTTGGCAAAAGAAACACCAGAAAGCCATGGGCATGTCTACCTGTGCGGTGTCATTCACCTGGGGACAGGAATCCATGTGGCAACAGGGTCAGTCTATCAGGGTCGGGGAAGTCCCAGTTTCTCCCAGAGCTCAGGGGCTCTCCTCGGCACAGCAAACCAAACCCCTAGACCTGTTCACTGATTATTTCTGTTCTTTTAGTGGGAAGAGGCAGTGTCACATCCCAGGCACATGAGGGTGATGAAGTTCTTTCCAGCCCATAAGTATCCAAGGATGATATCAAACAGCATCTCCTAGAGGGAAAGATTTTTATACCGGCAGCCCAAATATCTCTCAAAATCCAGGAGTCTTAGCACAGCATTATGAACAGCTTCCCCCTGCAAATGATGATTTTTTCAGCAAATCTTGGCACGTTGAGGAATTTTTCAAACCTAAAGAAAGCTCATAGTTGTGCAAAATGGGCACATGGATGAGTTCGGACAGAATAACAGGAAGCCAATCCCTAAATTCAGTCTATGCAAAACAGTTAAAGCTGGACAGATGAGTTCATTGTTTTAAGGACATCACAAGACGCCCTCAGAAGGGAGCCTCCACTGCTCAATATATTCCCTGAGGTGCTTGATTTAGCTGGGGTAAGGGACCTATCGAAAGGGCAAGGCAAGCCAGGAGCTGGTGTCTGGCCACCAAAACCAGCAGGATGAGCAGTCAGGCCAGCCCTGAGAGCAATGAGTAGCTGGAGGAACATGGCAAACTCCAGGTCTTTCCAGAAGGAGAAATGAGCCCACCTGCCTGGCACCGTCACTAGGATGACTCACTTCATTTGGAGGCTAGATCTGGGCTTCTGCCTGAATTTCCTCCCCTGTGAAGCACATGCCCAAGTTTTCCCTGCTGCCTGCCCAGTGGGGTTTGGGGGCTCAGAGAGGCCACAGAAGTTTTTGGTCTGCCTAACGGAAGGGCCCTAAGAAATGCTTGTGTCTCCGCAGGGGCTGGACAGGCATCACCTGCACGAGCTGGCATTGTGCATGCAAACCCCCAGCATGGTTGCTGCCCCTTATGCCTTTCTATAACACAGCCCAATGTCCAGCACTCTGGTTTGGAAAAGTCTAGTAAGGGTAAAATTAAGGTTTTCCCTTCAAATCAGACCCTCAGCCTGTGCTCTGCATCACGTGCCATGTGTCCCTGTGCCAAGCTATTCCTGCTTTCAACGTAGTGCGTGGGTGCAGCACACTCCTGCGTGTGTAACCTGGCCACCCTGTGACTGTGTCGTACAGTGTGGGGGCCCAGGCTTGCTCACCCTGCATGCACCGAGCCTCAGCACATGCAGTCACAGCCCTGCACTGCTCATCTCAGTGATTTATGCTTGTGGCATGCAATGAGTTTTCTCATCCTCAGTTCTTAGTGCCCTCGTAGGGAAAGTGATGTGTTCCAAAGGATGCCATCAGCTTTTAAAGCCAAAATGCAGCCTGCAAATGACCTGTAAAGCCTGCTCAAAAGGAGGGATTGCCTGCTCTGCCTCGGGATGGATGATACAAAGCCCAGGTGCGATTTTCTCCTGGCTGTGTTGGCAGTACCACATGCACCCATTTGCTCGTGGGGACCTGGCCGCATCTGTGCTGCCGCATTTACTCTTTTCTGGTTCCCTTCCGTGATCCCATTATGGCTGTGGTGCCAAGACATGTCCAATCTCTTGGGTCAGCACGCATGCTGTGCACACTAGGGACAGAAGCCCTAGGTGATGCACCATTCATGGGGCAGATCTGATCCTGCTCTCTAGACCAGCTCCTGAGATTTGGCTCTGTACCAAGTGATTGGAACTGGAGTTTCCAATCTGGGGGGCAGCATAGGCTTGTCTGCAAAACTCCCTGATACTTTTGCGTGGCAAATGAACCAGGTGGGGCTGGCGCTAGCCCTGCAACAAGAGCCTCTAGCAAATCCCTAGAAAGCATTGGCAGCTCCCTAGATCCGACAGGATCCCTCATCAGCTTTGTACTGTGTGGGTTATAGTCTCCCGCTGGGACGTCTCAGCCTGCCCCACAGGGCTGAGATTCGGGAACAGGCACCTTGGAAGCACCCTGGAGGGTGATCAAAGTGGAGCATCGCAGAGGGCATGGAAAATGCCACTGGTGGTGTGCGCATCTGGGCATTGTGCAGATGCCCATGTACCACGTGTACAGGCACAGTGAAGGAGCACGGCACACATGGAGTGCATCCATGTACCCATGTGGTTTTCTGTGTGTTCCTGCAGGAAGGAATGAAGGTCTTGAAGAAGGTATTCCCCAGCTTAACACATGTACGCAGGTGCACGTATAACACACACACGTGCCTGGTGTGTTTGGGTTCCTCCAGGCGTACCAGGCATGTCATTGCTATATATGGAGGAAGGCCTTGAGCTGTGGCTGCACAGTCCAGAGCATTTCTATTTTAAGTCCCCGTCATGCCCTGGCAGGGGGCTGCTCACATTCCCTGAGAGTAACGCTGTCAGAAAAATAAATTGGTGTCTGGGCTGGCATGGCCAGGGCCGGCATTGCATGAGTCACTCTGCACCTGCTCTGCTGTGTGGTGTCTCCCTAGGCCTTGAGCTGGCCTGCAGGAATCAGGAGAGGAGCTGGTTTCCTTATCACCTCCCTGCACTCGCCCTCCATCCCTCCCCCTGCGGCTCACCGGACTGGCTGGCCGGCCCCCAGGTTAGGCAGGGCCTTGGCAGCGACGCGGGGGGAAGCTCACATTGTGGCTGCCCACTGTGGGCCTGGCTGGAGGAGAAAGCAAGGATTTCCTGGCCTGGAGCAAGTCCTTCCCGTCTCCTCCCAGCAGCAGAGCACTATCGGGGCTGATGAGAGGCCATTCCCATTGGGCTTTGTACTGGGAGCTAGCGGCTGCCCCAGCACAGCGCTGCCATTAAGCAAAGGATTACTGAAAGGGCTGGGCT